TGACACCCTAATGCTGTATAATTCCTTACCCATTTCCTTGTCAAAAAGGGATGTTTATCGCCAATTATCTCACCATCAAAAAAAGTTGTTAGATTAGGATATTCCTGTAATCAATAAAAACAAACCCGTCAATAAGACAGACCTTTTCCTCATTCTCCAGAGAAAAATTTAATATACACTTTTAAATGCAGATAAAAAACTATATTCATAGTATAGCTGAGATACTATGCATGCCCTGATTGGTCAAAAACCAATCAATTATTGCAAAAGTACACCCAAAGAAAACTGAAACATTCTAAGCATATTTTATAAAAGCAATAGACCACACTTTCCATCAGTTTACCAGCATAATTGCCCAATTAGGATGTTGGGAGAACACTCAAAAAGTTTGTTAATTCCTTCCCTTCTTGCTCGTCATTTATGTGTGATTTACATTTTCTTGTTCTCCCAACATCCAACATGCATTATTATGCAGGTAAACTGATAGAAAGTGTGGCCTATTGTACAAATATTTTCAGGAGCATACTACCACTTAAGGCTGTTAACGTGCTGGAGACAAGCAATTTGTAATCAGTTACAGAATTATAAATAGGGGTTTGCAACTCGTATAACTATGGTGGTTTACCTTCAATATGGGTTTGTCTGGTAAGATTAAACAACTGTATCAATCCATTGCCTTAAACTACAAAGTTAAGGCATAGGAATAAACTTCCGGCTACTTTTATACAAATGTTGTTTAGAACTATTAGAAAGAAAATCATAACAAAATCGCGCACAACAAAAGCATTAACCTGATGTGACAAAAAGTTAATAAAATTTAAGTAATGGAGTGATGCAGCGTTCAAGAGAAAAAAAACGCTACATCATTTACACCCGTCAGCAGATTTTTATAATACTATCATCTGCTACTGTTAGATGGACTATATACTTGCACTGTGAAGCGTTCAGACAAAACAACGAGTCTTTGATGCAAAAAAAACATCTGTACGTAAATGTATTGTCTGATATAATTTTAACACGGTTAATTCGGTCAGGTACGAAATCAGTTCAATCAAAAACAACGAATAAATCCAAGTTTCGGCTGAACTGTCAAGATCATTGAAGCGGACAGACGTTGATCAGTACATTTCAAGAGCGATCTAGACAATAACAACGCAAGAACATCGGCAAAATTTTTACTCACATCTGTAAGGCCCTTTATTTTCAGATATCCACAAAGAAAGCCCTTCTCCTGGTCAACGTGCTAAAAGATATTTACATACACACCATAAAAATCATTCATTTGAAGACTACGTTAAAATTTTAAGACCACAAAGTAACAAACGCGGACGGCGGGAAATTATCCCTTCGAGTCGTGACACGGCTCACGCGAACTTACCTTCAATACAACTTCGACGTCGTATCGATTCCCTTTACTTTTTTGATGACCCTGGAATTTACTGCCACTGTACAACAGTGACTGTGCTAGACCAGGCTGTTTCGTGCCTGGAGGAAGGGGATTCAGTGCAATTTTCCCCGGCATTTTCACATAAGTTTTCACAACTATACGGTGGTCTTTTGAACTTGCCAACGACACTCCCTCGGAGCATCTTGGGTAATATTATTTGCGTAATCTTTAGTTCCCAGTTTCTTGTCGACTTTTCTTACACACACCTGTGAGGAGCTCAAATATCAC